TGGTATCCCCCATGAACCTTAAGCTTTTTTTTTTTTTTTTTTTTTAATCTTTTTTCTGATTGATCCCTTTCCAAAGAAGTATTCAGGTATTTGTCTTTAATCTTCCTAATTCTTTGTTCCATTGCATCAATTCTACTCCCTTGCCCTTTCAATGTGTTACCTATTTCTGACAATTTAGTTTAAATCTTTGGGATTTCTATTTGTAGATTTAGAATCATTTCTAGTATTTCATTGATTTTGTCAATTTGTTCTTTTAGTTTCTTCCAAAACTCTTCTAGGGTTTTGTCTGTGTTTTCCTTTGTCTGTCTCTCAATCCTTTGAAGATACCTAAATATAATTCTTTTGAATTCCTTATCAGGGAGTTCCAAAGCTGCATCTTCCTCAGGGATGTATTTTGGTTCTGTATCCCAGTCCCTTGTTTCTCCTGCTTTATCTTGATTCTTTGTGTGGCCTGCAATGCTCTGTTGTCTCTGAGGCATTGTGATGCTTTTGTGTTTATATTTAATTGGCGATTATATGTTAGAGTGACTTGCCCACAATTTTCGTTTTGTTTTGTTTGTATGTTATTTATACAAGGAGGGTACTGTGCTGTGCTCCTCTGTTCACTAGTTGACAGCACTTATACACTCACCACCTGTCTCCTTTCCTTTGTTAGCGTCTTGTATGTCCTTGTTGACTTTGCAAACAGAACCTGTTCTTAGGTCCCTGGAATCTGAGTGAGAATGCTATCACTGTAAAATCCAAAATGGTTGCTAATTGTAAACAATCAAAATGGCTGTGCTCTCAGTCACTTTAAATATCCAAAATGGTTGCCACTTGTAAACATACAAAAATGCTGCACCTTTGGTCACTTTAAATATTCAAAATGGCTGCTACGTGTAAACAATCAAAATGGCTGTGCTCTGCGGACAGCAGAAAGTACACAGTTCAGGTTGTCTCCCTCCTTTCTGTTTCCCTTCCTAGTCATAGGCCACCAGAGCTATTGTCCCTTCAGCCCTTCGTGACCAGGACTGATGTTTAGGTCAATTCTCAGGTCCCAACACCAATTGGAAATATTCAGGCTGTTGGTCTCATCAGAGTAGCTGACAGTCCGCAGTTCCGATCGTCTCTGTACTCACTGTTTTCGTTCAGGTTTTTCCACTAGTTGGTGCATTATCCACTTCTGTATAGTTCCTTTCAAAGCTTAGGGTTTCAGGATTGTCTTCTGTATCTTTGTCAATTGGATTTCCTTCTTTTGTTGAAGAGGGTCTGTGCCACTTGTCTGCCTATTCCTCCATCTTACCAGAAGTCCCTTCTCAATTTCTTGATTTGTCATGAATCTGTTCAACTTCTCCACATCAGTGTGTGTTAGATAAGTGGTGTGTTTCTAGAAATCTGTCTATTTCTTCCACATTTCCAAATTTGTTGGAGTACATTTCTTCATAGTATCCTGATAGGATCTTTTTTATTTAATTTTATGTGATATCGCATATTTTGTTTCTTATTCTTGGTAGTTGTATTCTCTCCCTCTTTTCCTTTGTTAAAGTTACCAGTGGTTTGTCATTTTTATTAGTCATTTCAAAAAATGAACTTCTGGTCCTGTTGATTTTTTCTTTTGTCTTTCTGTTTCATTGATTTCTTCTCGAATCTTTATTGTTTCCTTTCTTCTGGTGACTATAGGCTTTTCTTGCTGTTCTTTTTATAATTGTTGGAGATGTTGGTTTAAAGTGTTGATTTTAGGTCTTTCTTCTTTTTTGATGTGTGCATTTATTGCTATAAAATGGCCTCTGATCACTACTTTTGCTGTGTTCCAAAGATTTTGGTATGTTGTGTTTTCATTCTTGTTTGATTCAAGGAATTTTTGAATTTTATTTTCTATTTCTTCTCTTAGCCAGTCATTCTTAAGGAAGGTGTTGTTCAATTTCCATGTGTTTGCTGTTTTTCTTTTGATCTTCCTATTGTTGATTTCTAATTTGATAGCATTATGATCTGAGAAGATGCTTTTCAGTATTTGAATGTTTTTAAATTTATGAAGGCTTGTTTTATGGCCTAACATATGGTCTATCATGGGAAATGTTCTATGTGCACTGGAAAAGAATGTATATTGTGCTGTTGTTGGGTGAAGTGCTCTGTAGATGTCTATAAGGTCAAGATGGTGAATTGTATAGTTTAGTTCTTCTGCATCTTTGTTGAGTTTCTTTCCAGTTGTTCTGTCTTTCATTGAAAGTAGTGTATTAATGATTTCCTACTATGACTCTGGAGTCATCTATTTCTTTCTTCAATTCTTTTAATATCTGATTTATGTGTTTTGGGGCTCTTTCATTGAGTCTGTAGATATTTATTATGGTTATATCTTCTTGTTCAATTGATCCTTTAATCATCGTATAATGTCCTTTGTCTTTTATGGTGGTTTTTGTCTTAAAGTCAATTTGATCAGAAATTAATGTTACCACTCCTGCTTTTTTATGGTTGCCATTTGCTTGGTATATGTTTTTCCAATCTTTGATTTTTAGGCTGTGTTTGTCTTTGTCTCCTAAGGTGTGTCTCTTTTGGACCAAAAGACAGCATATTGATGGGCTTCGTTTTCTTATCCAATCTGTAACTCTCTGTCTCTTGTGTGGTGGATGTAATCCATTAACATTTCACTGTAATTATTGACAAGTATGAATTTGTTGCTGTCATTTTGTTTTGTGTTTTTTCATGGTGTCCCTGGTTTCTTTGTTTCATATTATTTTCTGTGCTGAGCTCATTATGTTTATGAATCCTGTTATCATTTCTTTTGTTGCTGTTGTTTTAGTATTTGCTGAATATTTGTTCTTGTCCTCTTTTTTGTTGTGATATGAAGGTTTATCATTTTTTCTTTGAGGTTACCCTGTTATTTATCATTTTCTCCCCATGTTTAGAACAGTCTTTTCTATCTTGTAACTCTGTTGACTTCCTCACCATTTAGAAGTTCTGTAACTACACAGTGATTTTCCTCCTTTTGGTTTGTAGTTGTCCTCATTTGCCAGTTGATGTCTTTGTTTCCTAGTTTACAATCTTGTAAGCTTATTTTATTTTGGATATGCCCATAGCTGTGGTTTCTGGGTTATGTCCTCTTGTGTATTAATGGTCGGTTGTTGTTTGCTGTTGCTGGTTCTCTGTTCAAAGGACTCCCTTTAGCATCTCTTGTAAGGCTGGTCTTGTGTTAGCAAATTCCCTTAATTTGTGCTTATCTGGAAGTCCCCTATAATTATTTTGAATTCTTTATTACGGAGTTCCAGTGCTCCTTCTTCCTCAGGAATGCGTTCTGGGTCTTTATCCTGCTTCCTTGTTTGTATCACTTTATCTTGGTTATTTGTGTCTACTGTGATCGTCTGTTGTCTCCAAGACATCATAGCATTATTTTATTTAGATCTCTGTTAACTGTTTGTGAAGAGTAGCTAAAAGTGAGTCAGGCTCTTCTTGGTGGTGGTTTATCGTTGGCCCATTGGTGGAGAAGGAAGTGATGGCTCTCAGTAAGTGAAGTTGCAGTAGGTGTGGGTGTAGTTTTGTCATATTGGGACTGTTGCTATCTCCCATTCAGTTAGACAAAAATAACAAGTGAATGACCATTAAAAAAGTAAGAGCAAATGGACAAAAAACAGACCATGTAATGACACAGGAACAATAGCCAACAAAAAAGGAAAAAAAAAAAAAAAAAGGAAAGGGGAGAAAATAAAACCTGTAATATCTCGGGAGAGGGCAATAAGAGGAAAAAGGTAGAGTAGGAGAATAATGAGGTATATAATGGGAGACATGCAAAAAGCAAAAGAAGGAAGGAGAAAAAATAATTTGGAATCAGGAACAGGGAAAAGAGAGAAAACTGAAAACTTGAAGCTGGGAAGAGAAGCATAAAGAATAATAATGAAAAGGGCAATAATAAGAATAAAACAGACAAAAACAAACAAACTGAAAAAAAAGAAGAAAAATTATTGGGGCTGGTCAGAGCAGGGCACCCAGGCTCTGTCCAAGTATACAGATTGGGGTAGAATTCTTGCCGGCCTAGAAGGTGGGTGGAAGTGAAGAATGGGCACACCTGCATTCACAAAGGGGATGTGGGGTATAAGAGTAACAAGGGTACTGTTGCACCTTTTCGGTCCACATCTGGAATGTCCTCCTGTTTCCTGGCAAGTGGAGCCTGTTCTTAAGTCCCTGGAATCTGGCAGAATGTTGTCACTTTAAATATCCAAAATGGTCAAGCTGCTTGTCAACATTCAAAATGACTGCACTCTCCAAACAGGCAAAAGTCCACAGCTTATCCCACCTTCCCCTTCACTGCCTTCCACTTTGATTCACCAACCACCAGAGAGCAGTCCTCGGTGCTGTCCCTGGCTAGCCGGGCTGATTTATCGGTTAATTCTTAGGTCCTGCCACCAGTCGGCAATATCCAAGGTGTCTATGCCGTCAGGCTCGCTGCCAGTCCGCAGCTACGTATGTCTCCTCTTTTGGTGTTTTCATGCAGGTTCTACTAGTTAGAGTTTAGTCCACTTCTATATCCTTCCCTTCTTTGCTCAGGGGTCCAGAATTATCTTCTGTATCTATGTTATTTGGTCCCCCCCCCCCTTTTTTTTTTGTTGAAAAGTGTCTGTGCAGTCTTTCTGCCTATTCCACCATCTTCTGTCTATTTTCTTTTATTGGCTGGATGTAACTACTCTGACCTGGAGACCCCTCCAATGTGGTCAGTAGTGACTTTTCTCTTCTTTCTTGGAGCCATGGGGCACCTGCCAGGTGATCTCTTTTGTTGCCAGTCTTTGCTCGTGAGTATAATGATCCTAATGTCATTTCACATGCCTGAGCATGTAACTTTGGGATAGATTTCTAGAATGGGCTTTTGCCATAGTGTAAGTATATACGGTTTTTCTAGATAAAAACCAAAAAACCAAACTCAGTGCTATTGAGTTGGATGCGACTCATAGCGACCCCTCCTTGGGTTTCTGAGGCAGTATCATTAGCGAAGTAGATTGCCCAAATTTTAATCTTTATATTGACCTGTGCTCTAGGTTGTTACAGGATCTGGCCGGCAGGAGACACAGAAGACAGATGCTGAGTACCGCAAACTCTTTGACCTGGCTCTGCAGGGCCTTCAGCTCCTGTCGCAGTGGAGCGCACATGTGATGGAAGTGGTATGTATGGGCTCTGTAGTCAGTTTAATTTGGAAATTACAAAAATTAAAATAACCTTCACTCCATAGTTGGGTAGAAGCTACTTTGCCTGAACTTGCCAAGAAATTTACTAAATGATGCTTTTTCTTACCATTGACTTTGGCTTTTGCATCATAGATTAATTGGCTTTTTATTTTTGGGCCTAAAAATTAGAATATATGTTAATGTAAAATGTTTCTAAGATTGCTCAAAATATATTTCATTTATGTGTATTATAAATAAAGGATCTTATCTTTTAATACATATTAATAGAATTATATTCTTATCATTTTGGTATTTTTTCATTGTCTTCCAGCCATCATGCTTTTTTTGTTTAACATTACTGAAATTGCTTCTGATATCGTGTAAAAATTTGGATACCCGTAAGTTATAAAAGTTTTTCTTGTTTATGGTTTATTTTGGTCAAATGAACATTATTAAATTTGGTGAGTATATGATCATATGAAAGTCAGTTTCTCTATATATGTTGCTGATACGCCTAGAGTGTCAAAAGTCAACAAAATATGCAGGCATTTTTCTGACATCTTGAAACTGAACTCACAGAGGCAGAGCTTTAGGTTGCTTTGGCAGTAAACATGCAATTTAGACCAAAGCAAAGCATTTTGCATTCAATATACGATGTTTTTTCTCTTTCTGACTGGATCAGTATTCATGGAAACTCGTGCACCCAACGGACAAGTACTCTAATAAGGACTGCCCTGACAATGCTGAGGAGTATGAGCGAGCGACACGCTATAACTACACCAGTGAGGAGAAGTTTGCCTTGGTAGAGGTGAGATTTGCCTACTTTCTTTTACTACATTGACTCATCCCTTGACGAGCAAAATCTTTACCTTAGATGTTGTTGTTTTTATGTGCCATGGAGTTGGACCTGACTCATAGCGACCCCTCCTTGGGTTCCTGAGGCAGTATTACTGTAGAAGTTGATTGCCCCGTCTTCCTTCTGAGGAGTGGCTGGTGGGTTTGAACCACCAGCCTTCAGGTTAGCAGTCAAGTGCCTTAGCCACTATGCTATAATGTCCTGTTTATCTACTTTTTCCTTTTGTTGTTTGTGCTTTTGGTCTCATAGCTACAAAATTGTTCCCTAACCTAAGGTTATGAAGATTTATTCCTAAATTTTCTTTTAGGAATTTCATTTGTTACATTTAGATCTATGTCCATTTTGGGTTTATGCTGGGTTAATTCTTGTATATTACGTGCAGTAGTGGTTATGTCACGGGTCTCAAAGATCACCTCAGTGATTCATTAGAAGGGTCATAGTATTCAGTAGCTATTAAACTCACATTTTTGGTTTATTACAACAAAAGCATACAGATTAAAATCATCAAATGGAAAAGACAAAGTCTAGAACCTTTTAGGTATCCCTTTCTCATGGAGTCGTACGGGGCATTCTTCATTTTTGCAGTAATGATATATAACAACATGCATGAAGTTTGACTTAGCTAGTCAGACTGCAGACTCTCAGACCAAAAGCAAGGGTTCACCATAAATCACACTGTTAGTATAAACTACCTGGTCAGACTGGTACAACTAGAGTGGTCCGAAGCCTCAGGCATACAGCTCAGAACTCAGTTCGCAGGAGCCAGCCAAAGGCCAGTTGTGACAACAAGCCTTTCTCTGGACTGTGTAAGATTTTAGCAAAAGTCTTTAAAAAAATTTTGGGGGAAAGGAACTAACTTTTCCTTGCATAGGGATCCAAGTTCTTTCTTTTCCTTATGGATGTCCAGTTGTTCTAGTACTATTTGTTAGAATCATAATCTTTCCCCATTGAATTGTTTTGGCATCCTTGTTGAAAATCAGTTGACTATAAATACAAGGGTTTATTTCTAGACTCTTAATTCTGTTCCTCTGATCAGTGTGCCTATGCTAGTATATGCATATAATCTTTTAAGGTGTGTGGTCATGTCTTTTGCATTCCTAGTGCTGATCATTTATACCTTGTCTCCATTTTCTTGATCATTTTTGTTGGGTATTCACCAATTTTATTACTCATTTTAATTTTAATTTAATAGTTTTGGCTTCATTGGTCTCTGTTACATGATTTCTTTTTCCTTAATTTCTACTTTTAGATATTTATTTCCTTTTTTCGGGTATTTAGTTTACTCTTATAAATTTTCGATGAATATCAGATTATTATTATTTTCAGCCTTTTTTCCTTTTCTGATGTTTGCACTTAAAACTATAATCTTACCTTTAAGCACATATTTGCCTGCATTCTTTAATTCAAATATATATTCTTTTTATTTTCTTTCAAATGGGTCTTCCCTTTGCTTTTTAGATAGAAATTTCCCCCTTTTTTTTCTGATTAGCAAAGCCACACAGAATCATCAAACAAATGTCCAAAATAGTAAATAGAAATCATAAATATGATATCAAGAAATTGCACTGCCTGTTGTACCAGCACAGAGATAATATTTAAGTTGTTCCATGTGTTTTCTTCCAGGCTTTATTTGTACATGTTAATTTAGTGTGCCATTGTTGTGTAACAAATGGAATTTAGATTGCACCTTCTGTGGCTTCATTTGTTTCTTCTAATAACGTATTTGCTTTCCTGAATCTTTTCCCTTTTATTCCATTTGAAGTATGCCACAGCTCCCAGGTGCCCTCAGTTTGGTGGGGTGTTGCTTTGGCAGTGGCACCATACTGAGAGTTGCTTAGTGAAGGTGGTGGCCAGGGTGACTGCAGAGTAAGTGTGTGGCAGGCTCACAAGGAGGTGCTGTTGATAAGCAGGTGGCAGTCTCCTGGCATTTGTCAGCTGCTGAGGCTTGATACTGTCCCTGAGAAGGAGCCCTCTTTGTCACCCTCTGGTATATTGAGAATAGCCTTTCCCCTGCAGGTGATTGCTATGATCAAAGGCTTGCAGGTGCTGATGGGCAGGATGGAAAGTGTGTTCAACCACGCTATCCGGCACACTGTCTATGCTGCGCTGCAGGACTTCTCACAGGTGACTCTCAGGGAGCCACTCCGGCAGGCCATCAAAAAGAAGAAGAACGTCATCCAGAGGTTAGCTTCACAACACCCCACCATATGCATTCAGGGTCTAGGAGTTCTGGAATATATTCATACTCAGTCAGTCTGTTAGCTACGTTTTCGTAATATGCTTGATACTTTTTTTAACCTCCAATTTGTTAGGTGAGTTATTTCTAAATGTAATGCCGGGGTTCTTGAATTATTAACCTGGAAAACTTAGAATAAATCAACTACAGTGTTTTAAAGTCTGGGGACCTAGGGAAATGGTGCATTTTTCTTGGGGTTGGAGATGTCTGAAAATCTGCCCAACAATTCTGATCACCAGGTGTATAGGGACATACTGCCCAACATTTTCCCTCTCATCTCAAATATTTGTTTTTAGTAGTTTTGCATTTATATCTTTTGGGCTGTCTTACAAATTGGACAAAAACTACATACATAAATTAGGCATTCCATAATGATCTTATGTTTATTTTGGCTTAGTGTTTAACTTTTTGGATAAAGCTGTCTTTCAAAGACATCTATGCAAAATTAAGCAGGCAAAGGTCACAAATGTATTGATTTCATTTTCTTCTTTTGTAGTTTTTGTATTGTCTCTGGCGTTGAATGATTTTAGTATTATTAGAACTTTTATAGTATGATGCTTACCAGTTTATTTGCCCGACACTGAGGACTTGAGGTGTCCGTTTTGTGTCATGCTTTCAGTTGTGCTTGTACTTGCCATGGGGGAAGGTGTCCTGGTGTTGTTCACATATGTGCATCAAGGGCTTGGCCTGAGTTTGGAGGGTTCATCTGTACAGATGGGATGTTTGAGTCACACCAGGTATAGAAAGGGAAGTGCTTGCCATCAGCAAGGAATACACAGTAGTCAGCCACTTTCAGTTGCAGAGGCTATCAATTGTGTAGTCTAAAAATCACTTAACCTTTAGCTGGACTCTCTCCCTTTAGTATTTAGGCAGAGAGTGCAGATATATGGACCCTGTAGAGCTGAGGAGCTCTGGCAGTGACAGGTCACATCTTGGTTGTGACAGGGTCATATGAGCTAGTTGTAGTGACAGGGTCATGCTTCTGTGCATTAAGCACGTGCTCGGCCTTCTGGCTGTGTTGCTGATGCTACATCTTGTTAGGAAACATGGATGGCTGTTCAGCACATGAGCCCAACTCTCTCCCTGCCATGAACTTGACTTGCTGTCTTGCTGGGGTGTGTGTTCAGGATATGAGAAAATTGCTCCAGGCTCATTTTTATACATTACAACTAAGTCAGATCTCCTGGGAGTAGTAATGTTCCCATGAAAATAATATTTTTTAAACTTTTTATTTCCCACATCCCTCCCTGTCCCAAAGGGAATTTCTGTTCTGAGTGCACTTTGTAATTATTAGAACATTGTGATTTAAATGTCTCTGCAGTTTTTGGTGCTGCCATGTCTCAGGGGTATGACTTTGGGTTCTATTCAGTGTCCTGCAGGCCATCAGGAAGACGGTGTGTGACTGGGAGGCTGGTCACGAACCCTTCAATGACCCAGCTCTGAGGGGAGAGAAGGACCCGAAGAGTGGGTTTGACATCAAAGTGCCCAGGCGCGCCGTGGGACCCTCCAGCACGCAGGTTCTCCCCCTACCCTGCCTCCTGCTGGGAGCGTGATTCTTAGTCTGGGAGGGCTGCATGTGAGCTGAGGAGAGGAAGGTAATCTGTGTGCATCCAGGCAGGTCAGAGGAGTGCATCTTGCTTCATTTCTATAAGTATTATCTTTACAAAACAAGCATACATAAAAGAGCCAGTGTGCAGGCCTAGCTCTGATGTGCTGTGCTCCCGACTCTGAAGTCCATCCTCTGAAACAAAACCTGAGACACATTTGTGACTCTCTAGTTTGTTAATTTGCATTCAGGAATTCTTTTCACTCCATGTCAACTCCTGTCCCAAAAATGTGGGTCACAGTGCTTGTGTGTGTGTGTGTGTGTGTGTATTTATATTGTGTTTCTTGATCGATGTTCAAGTGTGTAATTATATTTTTTACATTAATCTACAAATGTTAACCCATAAGATTGGAAATGAAAAGTGTTGCTTTTGTATGTGATTAGTCCAAGACTGCCAGCACTTTTCTGTCCTCTAAGCATTTCACCCTGATTTTCACAGCTGTATTTAATATGTTGTCTTTCTTCTCCCACATTGGGACCTGGTACTTCTTTCTCATCTTCTCTGTGCTTTTATAATCTCATCCATGAATCTTTTAGAAAAGTACCAGAAAAACACATTGCTGTCTATATATGACCTCTCAAAAGTTTGAAAGGAGGATACTGGCATCCCCTTGGAGTCATCCTCTTACCCCTGTCTATGTCTGCTCCTGTGAGTGTGTGTATTGTCACTAACGGCTCTCTCCCGCCTTTCCCTGTCTGTTGGTGTCTAGCTCTACATGGTGCGCACCATGGCAGAGTCCTTGAGTTCTGCTGAGCTGCTGCAGCAGCTCAAATCTTTGGGGATGGAAAGGCTCTTGCATGTGGTAAACGCGTTTCTGAGGCAGTCCTACATCTATCCGCCTCTTTTAACCTTTGGTGGTAAGACATGACTTCATTTGCTTTTTTTTGTTGTTGTTGACATTCACAGCACAGAGGTGAACTGGTCCGCTACAAATTGTTCTTTATCCTGGACAGTCAGTTGGCAGGTGCCCATCCCTGGAGGAGGAGATGGGCTGGCTGGCATGGGCGCTGTCCTGCATAGCTCCCTCCCTCCCTGCTCAGGCACTGGACAGGTTGTAGTGGAGCAGTCCTTCTATGGGGATTTCTCTTGAGTTTGGTCTGACTAATGTACCATGTATTTTCTCCCCTACAAATGTTTTCTTGGATAATGCAGCTTTATATGGTGAGAACCATGCTAGAGTCCCTCATTGCAGACAAAAGTGGTTCCAAGAAAACCTTGAGAAGTAGCCTTGAGGGGCCCACCATATTGGACATAGAAAAATTTCATCGAGAGTCATTCTTCTACACTCACTTGATAAATTTCGGTGGTAAGCGATAATGACAGCTGGCACCCATTCGCATCCTCTAATGCTGCTAACACCATTGTAATGCTTCCTCCACTGCTTAGCTATCCCCACCCCAGGGATGTGGGACCATGAATGCATGTGGTACGTAGAAGCTCCTGGCTGTGCAGTAGGTGTGACCTTGCCAGCATTACATAATGAGGTGTGGCTATTAGACACATCACAGAGCTGAAGGGGCCATAAACACAGATGAATGTAACCCATTGCTTGTATCTATCTATAGGCAGACAGAGAAAGAAAGCCTCAGAAAGCTATATTCCTAGCAAAGGTGACACTGACCTGGTCACATGTGGAGGTGGCAAGTTGCCTATCTCCTGGGGGCCTCAGCCACATCGACCTATGCAGGCCATGCTCACCACCCTCACACGTCTGTTTGCTTTGCTTCATTACAATGTCCACATCCACCCCTGTACTCACTTGTCTTGCTCACAGCAATAGGCCTTTGTCTGGCTGTGATACTGCTCCTCTGTGGTGCCCATGGACATTGCATGCAGAAAGTAACACATTTGTTTTTTAATGCTGAAAAGGTTAAAACATTTTTTGAAACTACCTGTGTTTTTGCATTAGATAATCCTTTATTGTTTATTTATACATGTGATGTTGTGTTCTAGAGATTGGTCCTTATCCCAACTAAAAGAAAAATAATCCAATTTTTGTTTTTGTCATTTAAAACATGACATTTTTTCTCATAGTCCTGTCAAGGGCCTGGTGTGGTTGATGATGTCGCCATGTAGTCACCACCTTCACAATGCAATCATTCTGGGTTGGATGCTGACTCTCTGTGAGGGTGCCTGCATGGGTGAGGGTGGCTGCTGTGTGCACACAAATCCATTGTTGTTTATGCCCCTGGTATAGATGCATGGCAGCTGCCTCCATGCTCATGCCACTCCTGCATGGTCTGGCATTCATCTTCTCTGAGTTTCTTTCTGCCGTGGAAGATTAACATGGTGTCATTTGAATCCTTAAAGAGACACTGCAGCAGTGCTGTGACCTCTCACAGCTGTGGTTCAGAGAGTTCTTCTTGGAGCTGACCATGGGCAGGAGAATCCAGTTCCCCATTGAGATGTCAATGCCATGGATCCTGACAGACCATATCCTGGAGACCAAAGAGGCATCAATGATGGAGTGAGCATCCTGGAGGCCTATCTTGTGGTGTGGTTCCCTTTGTTCAGGGTGACTGGGAGGGAGCTTGAGGGCAGATGGGAACTGGGAGAAGGGGACTGGACTTTTACAAGGATTTCATCTGAAAGGTAAGGCTTTGGAGATTAATAAAGTAACATGTTTCTTTGCTTTGGGCTGAAACCAGGAATCCATGCAGTAGGGCTTACAAAGTTAATGCTGTATGCAGGTGCTGTGCTAGGCCCTGGGGACCCAGGCAGGACAAGGGAACGAGATCTGGGTACTGGCCCTTCCCCAGGCTTTGGTTAGTACAGGCCTGCATGAGGAGGTGCCTGGATGTGAGATTGTCTAGCTGCTCCCTCTCACTGTGGGTGTGCACTGGCTTCTTATGGGACAGAACCTCTGACCCAGATGAAATTGGGGGAGGAATTGCTAATTAGATAGCTTTTCTTTGGGGGAGGGGAATAGGCAGAGTCTTTCAAAATATGAAGTCCACTGAACGAAAAGTATTCAAAAGTGAAGTGTCCTATGGTGAACAGACTGGGGGCCAAGGGACTGGTCTTCCTGCAGTGGGAAGAGTAGCACCTTGCTCCAGGAATGGGGTATGCTTATTAGTGCTCAGTTGTCTTGGTGATCCGAAAGACAACTACAGGCCCTACAGGCCCAGGACAGTGACACCCATGTCATCCCAAGTCTTCATTTTGAGTGATCATGGAGATTGTATGTGGCTATATTGAGTCTCCATGATTGAGGTTTTGATTCTGCTTGGTTCACACACGCTCTCCCCTGCAGGGTGGGAGAAGACTGCCATTTCCTCACTGGAGCCTGAAGCTGGGACTCCTGTCTGGCAGAGGTTTCCAGAAGGAGGGCCACATGGCCCCCTTTTTTCCTGATACAAGATGGAGGGAAAAGGAACTCTAGGCCCCGGGCCAGTGCTGGATCATGCCTATGGTGGTGGTGGAGCCTGGGATTGCTGTATAATTTTCCCTTTTAAGTCATATATTTCATTCTTTAAAATGAGAAAATGCTGGTTTTGTTGCTATAAAAATATTTTGTGCCTGTGGTTAAAAATTTGAAGTGAGAAGATGGTTTTAGTTGAGTTCTGGTTGTATACCTGACTCTCAGAAGAGCACAGGGTTTGGTGTTTGAAATGATAACGTTTTTTTTTTCTTCAGATGAGAGAGTAAAGAATGAAAGAATTAAATTTCTTAGGGATTGGGAAGCCTTTAGAGGTGAGAACTTCCTAGGTATGAGGTTGATCACGATCAGCAGGTAGGTGATGGTTACCCTTCCTATAGGTATGTGCTCTATTCCCTTGACCTGTACAACGACAGCGCGCACTACGCCCTTACCAAGTTCAACAAACAGTTCCTCTATGACGAGATTGAGGCTGAGGTGAGGTTCTCTTTCAAAACAACTGAATTTTTCTTCTCTCTGATTATTAAAGGAATTAAGCTTATTATATTTGAATATAAGTAAGTTTAAATAATGAAATAAACTTTTGAGGTACATATTATGATTTGAGCCCTGCATACTTCGCTCAGTGTATCTGTACATAGACAATCTTGCTGCTTTGCCATGTGCCTCCTCACCAGACAAGTGTAAACATTTTCTCATATTCTTACTTACTTTGTATTATAAACACACCATAAAGCAGGTGCTTGTATTTAATGGAGTGGATTGAACTAATCTTTGTTTCTTTAGTTTTTGTTTTTGTTTACTAAAATAATACTTTTATGAGCTTACTTGCACATGATTTTTGTTTGCATTTGAATATTTAGGAAAAATTCCTACAAATGAAGTTATTAGGTCAGTATACCTCATTAAGGAGATGAATCTTATTTTCTAGCTGTATTTTAACAAAATTTATCCCCAACAGATTGCTTAAAAATTTTATGGGGTTTGTACTTCTGGGCTTCTTCCATCTTTTCATAAGGAACACCTAAAATGATTCTTAAATACATTTTATTGAAATGTAATTTATGTATAGTAAAATACACAAAACTAAAGTGACATGGGTCAATGCAACTTTTTTTTTTTTTTAATACAATATTTCCTCCTTTCCCCTCCCCTCCCCTCCGGGTAACCAACAAAGAAAGTTTTTTTCCCTGTATAAACCTTTCCTTGACTCTTTACAATAATGAACTAATACTATATTTGTCCTTCTGTGATTGACTTATTTCACTCAGCATAATGTCCTCCAAATTCGTCCATGTTATGTGGTGTTTTGCAGATTCTGTATTCTTTAGTGATGCATAGTATTCCGTTGTGTGTGTGTACCATAGTTTGGTTATCCATTCTATTGTTGATGGGCACGTAGATTGTTTCCATCTTTCTGCTATTGTAAATAGTGCTGCGGTGAACATGGGTATGCGTATATTTGTTCTTGTCCTGACTCTCACTTCTGTGGGTTATAGTCCTGGTAATGGGATAGATGGGTCCAATGGTATTTCTAATTGCAGCTTTTTAAGGAATCACTATACTGCTTTCCACAGTGGTTGTATCATTTCACAGTCCTGCCAACAGTGTATGAGAGTCCCAATCTCTTTACATCCTTGCCAACATTTGTTATTTTCTGTCTTGTTGAACTTTACCATTAGTGCTAGAGTGAAATGGTATTTCATTGTTCTTTTGATTTACATCTCTCTAATGGCTAATGAGGAGCTCTTGTAGCATAGTGCCTAAGGCATTTGACTGCTAACCAGAAGGCTGGCGGTTCAAACCCACCAGCCACTCCTCAGAAGGAAGGTTGGGCAGTCCTACTTCCATAGTGATACTGCCTCGGAAACCCAAGGAGGGGTCACTATGAGTCGGGGCTGAGTCGACGGTGAATAACAACAACAATGGCTAATGAGGAGCTCTTGTAGCATAGTGCCTAAGGCACTTGACTGATAACCAGAAGGCTGACGGTTCAAACCCACCATCCACTCCTCGGAATGAAGATTGGGCAATCTACTTCTGTAGTGATATTGCCTTGGCAACCCAAGGAGGGGTTGCTATGAGTCAGGGCCAACTCGATGGCACATAACAACAATAACAACAGTGGCTAATGATCGTGAACATTTCTTCATGTTTTTGCTTGCTGCTTGAATATCCTCTTTGGTGAAGTGTCTATTCATGTCTTCTGCCCATTTTTAAAGTGGATTGTTAATCTGTTTGTTGTTGAGGTGGTGGAGTTTTCTATAAATTTTAGAGAGAAGTCTCTTCTCAGATATATCATTGCCAAATATATATATTTTTTAATTTTGGACATTATTTATTTATTTATTTTATTTATTTTTATTTGGGTGAAGATTTACAGAGCAAATTCACTTTCCATACAGCAGTTCACATATACTTTGTCTTACGTCATTGACCACAGTTTACCACAATGCAACAGCTGCCCTCCCACTTCCTCCCCATAGTTACCTCTTCCCAGTGACCATCCCTACGTACTCTCCTGCGCCCTGAGCTGTCTCCCTGTGCATAAGCAGCCCTTCCTTCTCCCATGATTGTTCTCTCTAGGGTGTGTGACTACTTGAGGACAATGTTTAACTCACGTGCCTGTACATTGTTTGGCTGG